TTCAGGTGTCAAGAGCGCCGCTCAGTTCAGTCGCACGGCTCCGTTGTTTGCGACGGGCAGCTATGATGACAAGCTGCGTGTGTACAGCCAGGTGACCTTCGATCTGCTAGTCGAGCTGACACACCGCGGTGGCCAAACGGACGACGGCGACAGGGAGAGAGGCGACGCCATCCCTGAGACGGTAAGTGACGTGACCGACCTTCATGTGCTCTGTCTGCGTGAGGAAAGACCCTGGCTGGCACTTGTTGTTGTCGCTTGTCGTTGGTGCAGTTGGTGTACAAGGAGGTGCTCGAGCAGGCTGACATCCCCCATGGAGGGTGGGTAACCTGAAGAAGAAAATGTCTCGATTCGATGCCGTCTCTGCACGCCTTGTCTGTCAGTAGTGCCCGGGACGAGCATCGTGTCTCACGATGTGCGCAATGACCAGCAGAGTGAAGAGTCACCCATGGAGGCTCTTTGTCTGTGCAGATGTCATTGACACCACGGTGGACGTGTCCGCGAGAGGCGCCAAGCCGTCAGGAGCAGTGCCGCCCCCCAACACAAGCGCATCAGCAGTACGTGTTGGAATGACAGACACACAATCGGGTGCGGCTGCATTGATGTGTGTGTGTGTGTGTGTGTATGTCAGAGTCTCGGCAGTGTGGGGGTGAGCATCGTAGAGTGGAGCCCCGACAGCCGCTGGATCGCATCTAAAAGCGGTACGGTAGGCATTGACTGACACGTATGTCACACAGCACAGCCACACATCACGTGCGACTGTAGTGAGTGGTATGTGAAGGGCAGGGCCTCCCATTGATTGATTGTCTCCCTCCCATCCTCAGACTCCGAGCCGTGTGTGGTGCGCGTGTGGGACACGAACCGCTACGCTTTGCACTCGCTGCTGGTCCAGATGCACAACGTCAAATGCATCGGTACAACATCTGACTGACTGCATGAGCCACCCACAGAGAGCACGCGAATGCCAAACATCAATGCGGCGCCACTCATCGTTAATGTCTCCGTGTGTGTCTCACTTACTCAGCGTGGGAGCCCAGCCAGTGCGCCAAAGACGAGGCGAGGTACGCTAGCCAGGGCGATTTGGCCAACCTTGCCGTGCTGTGTCATGAGACATCGGCTCGGCTGTGGCATTGGATGCAGGTTGTGGATCGGCGCGTCTGACCATCTGTACGTGTGGATGCCGCAGGGGGCGTCGGCCATAGACCTGCCAGGTACAGCCAGACAGATATATTGGCTGGCACTCATAGAAACGGAGCAAACACGGAGCTATCTCGGTGTTGCACATGACATGCAGGGGGCTTTGGGGCCGTTCACCGTTTGCAGTGGAATGCGGATGCTTCCGCCTTCCTGGTCGAAAACCGAGTGAGCAGTATTTGGCAGCCACTGCTGGCTGTGTGTTGAATAATCAACATGGTCGTCATCTTTCATGTTGTTGTTCAGGATGGGTGTTGCCTGGTGGGGAGCCCGCCCAGCGCCAATGGGCTGCTCTGCACAGACGAGCCGCCTGTCGAACACCACTAGCTAGGGGTGTAGTTTGTGTGCTCACCACACGCGTGTTGCGACATATACTCATCCAAACATGCTATGAGTGAGTGTACGTTCGCTTTCACGCACCGCTCGTTGTTGTGCTGTCCTGTGTAATAACCTGCGCCCTCTCTCGAGCGCACACCCGCGTCCACACACAGGTGGACTCACTGAAGTGAGTGACTCATGTACCAATTCACGACAGGCGAGTACAGCAGCACACACACAAGACAGACAGACAGACAGACAATCAGCCACTCAGACAGACAGATGTGATACACACACACACACTCCCTAGCCCCCCCAGCCTCTATGGATGTGTGTATGACATGGCCAAAGTTCATTCATCAACAAATTCCGTCACACAGATGCGATGCCGCCCATCCTCCTGTCCTTCAGTGCATGCGAGAGAGAAAGACAGACAGAGAGGAAGACAGACAGACAGACAGACGAGTGAGAAGGCAGCCAAGAAATGGACAGGGGACGGACAATACTGACAGAACCCGACAAAACCTCCCGCCCCAGCTCCCCTCACACACTTACTCACGGCCACAGAGCCCGCAAACACACAATCCGACACACACACAGAAGAGAGGCAGGCGGGCCGCGCCTACTCACGCACAATAATCACGCGACGTACCTGCAGGCACCCGCCCGCCCAGCCACCGAGCCACCCACACGGGGACACAGACACACATACACAGGGACACGGTGAGCAAAAATCGATGGATAAAAATCGATGGAAATGGTCAACGACATCCAGTTCATGTCACCCACCCGCCCACCCTCCCGCCCCTATGCCTGTGTATGAACGCACGGCGACAGACAAGCCACCGATGGACTCATGGCCACCCAGCCATCCCCCAGGGCATGCGGCACAGAGAGACAGACAGACAGACGAGGAAGCGAGTCAACAGGGGCAACGATTAAGCATGATACTGACGCAGACATGCCTCCCTCCCTCCCTCTCGCTGATCTCAACAAAAGCGTGACCCCACACAAAACCGCCATCCAAACTATAAGCTAGTCCTGCTTGCCCCGTGCAGACAGACGGTCGTCAATCTGCGTCCATGCATTGCAATCACGCATAGATGCAGCCACGCAAGAAGTCGCTTGCTCCCTCGCTCGCTGATCGGTCGCTGGCTCGCTCACTCACAGGATGGCGAGCAAGTGCACCTCGACAAAGAGCACCCCCAGGACGATTTGCCTGACCTCCCCAACCCGCATCGACAGCACCGCCTCCCGCAGCCACCCAGTCCTGTCTCCCACACGGCACGCCACACCCCGCTGCTCTCGCACCGCCTTGTCCTTGCCGAAGCCGTCGAGGAAGTAGAAAATGTCGAGCTTGACTGTGTGGTCCTCTGTCGCCACGTCCCCATATCCCTCCCGAGACAGCGTGTGGTAGGCTCCGGAGGGGAAGCGGAGAAGCGGCTTGGTGTCGTTGCTCATGCTCACCATGGCCATGCTTGCCTGCCTGCCTGCAACATGCACGAAAGCAACACACATGGATGGGGAGGGAGGGAGGCCGATTTATCGACTGATCTGTCGAGCGAACCTGTGATCTTCAACAGATGCTCGGGGCTCCCGCTTTCGCCGTCGGTCGGTTCACCACTCTAGGCTCGCAGTTTCCGGGCTTGGCCGTCAGGCAGCTTAGGACATTCCGTGAAACCGCTCTCTCCCCGGGCACCGGGGAGGAGCAGAAAGGATGGATTCTGCAAGTGCCCCTCTGGCGTCGGGATCGACCACTGAGAAGGCGGTCAAGGCGCTGGTGCAGCACGTGGCAGCCAAGAACGCCCCCAAGAACGAGCTGCTTGCCGCCAACGAGGAGACCATCTCGCTGTACATCAGCCTCGAGAAGATCCCCGACAAGAGGCGCGAGAAACCATTCCTCATGTACGTATGGCAAAGATCAAGGGAGGAAGGGAGGGATGAGATGAGTGGCAGCTGCGAACTCATCTCTCGGTGTGCGTGTCTGTCTGTCTGTGTGTCTGTGCGTGCGTGTGTGTGTGTGTGTGTGTGCAGCCCGGTGCCGCACAGCATCTATCCCGAGGACGTGGACATATGTGTGTTCATCAAGGACTCGGCCAAGGCCAACCTCAAGGACCAGCTGCAGAACAAACACATCCAAGGCGGAGGATCCATCAAGGTAGGTATTGATCTCACACATGGACCGACGGACGGACAGACTGACCACACAGACAGGGAGGGAGGGAGAGAGGCAGGCCGAGGTTGCTCATGCCGTCGGTGTGTGTGTGATGGTTGGTGTGTTGGGTCAGCTGTTGCCTGTGGGCAAGTTGCGTCGCAACTTCAAGACGGCGGCGCAGCGTCGAGAGCTGTGTCGGAGCTATGACGTCTTCATCTGTGACGACAGGGTCGTCGAAATGATGCCCTCCTACCTCGGCAAACCGTTCTTCCAAACCAAAAAGTCAGTCAGCTCAGCTCCCAAAGCAAACGACCCTCGGCTGCTGTTTGTCTGCCGGTTTGTGAGAGATCCGAGTCGTGCGTTGTGTGTTGTGTGCAGGAGTCCCATTCCGGTGAAGCTGACTCTTGCCAACTGGTTTGAGGCGGTGGAAAACGTCAAGAACTCGACCATTCTGCGCATTCCCCCGGGGCCCTGCTGGTGAGTGGAGTGGGGGTGTGGGTCAGCCAACATGGATCCATCCGTGGTGACGGCTGCCTGCTTGCTTTGTTCCATCTTCCCATGTATGTATGTCAGTTCCGTCAAGATCGGCCGCTGCAACATGGACCCGGCGCATATCGTCGCAAACGCGCTCAGGTAGGTACACACAACGAATGCATCATCAGTGAGTGCAGCCAGCAATCAATGGGTGGCTGGCTGACGACGGACTGGCTAGAGAGAGAATCATGCCATCCCTCTGTCCCCCTCCCCCTCTACCTCCCCCTCTCCCTCTGTTTGTGTGTCGATGGATCGATCCATCCAACAGGGTGATAGAGGAGGTGACGAGCATCTTCTCGACGCCCCGCTTCCACAACACCATATCGGCCATCAGTGTCAAGGCCACTGACTCGGTCGCCCTGCCCATATACGTTGCCGACAAGTACAACGCCGCTGTGCGAGAGGCTGCCGCGGCAAAGGAGGACCAAGGAGCAGCAGCGGCGTCACCTGCAGCAGTGCGGCCCTCTAAGAAGCGAGCTATGGCCCAGCAAGTGAGTGACGACGGTGCGCCGCAGCCTGCACAGAAGAGGGTCAGGAGCGAGCCGAGCAGCGGGCAGGAGGGCCAGAGGGGCAGCGCAGCGGCGTCAGGCAAGAAGGTGCGGCAGGATGGCAAAGGGGTGAGCAGGGCTGGTGCTGGGCTGACAGGCAGCAAGAAGAGAAAGGCGGGCGCCAAGCTGTGAGGTTTGACCTGCTTTGTGCCGATTGATGGAGCTGGAGAGGAAGTACATGGAGACAGACAGACATATGTGCATACTGACTCTGTCGCCTATGAATCAACCAACCAAGGGTGGCGCAAGAGAATCGAGAGCTGACTGTGCGTGCCGTGCGCGTGTCTGTCGCATTCGCTTTGCAAAATCGCTGCAGCCATTGATTGGCTGAACTAGTCAGACTGCCGTGATGGAAAACTGCACCGAACAACAGCCAATGGAGCACCACCGAAAGTTAATGAATATCAGGCAGTACCCGCTTTTCATTAACTTTCGGTGGAGCTCAATTAGTTGTTGTTCGGTGCAGTTTTCCATCATGCCCACTATGGTATGTACCTGCACACGAGCGAGCGTCCATGCGTCCATGCGTCCGTCCCAGCACACAGTCAACCCTCACTGAACCCGTGCAGTCAGTGCACTCAACTCACTCAGTCAGTCACTGGGTGCTGTCTGTGCGGTGCTGCCTGTGCTGCCTTACCTACAAAAAGATCGACCTCTCACACACACAAAACAGTCAGTCAGTCAGTGGCTGGCTCGGGGAGTGAGTGGGTAGTGGGTGGGTGGGTGGCTGCACTAATTCTGTCCATCCACGCATCACTCATTGGCTGCGCCCATCAACCAACGCACACATGCGCTCATGTGTGCGTGTCTCTCTGTCTCTCTCTCTGTGCCTGTCTCTTCTAAGCAAGCGTGGCTTCCTCCGTCCATCGGTCGGTCGGCTGTCCGCCCGTCCGTTGGTCTGTCGTTCGTTCAGTACTTGATGCCCTGCTGGACGGCCTGGACGATGTCGTATATGCGCGTGGTGAGGTTGTTGTAGGCAAACACGATCTGCTCCTGCATGAACTGAGCCGCACCACGAGCACTGCGGTCCAGCTGGAAGCGCCACCTGCACACACCACACACACACGCCTGTGTCCACGCACGCCGGAAAGCACTGCAGTGCATGGGGTGGGATGTGAGTGTGTCAGGTCGCTGACCGACCTGAGGTTAGCGATAGACATGGGTTTGAAGCACGGCAGGCCCGACTCGATCATCAGCTCCACCAGATTCAGAATCAGCTCCGCATGCTCACGCAACGCCAGATACCTAAGGGCACCAAACAACCATGGCAGGCACCCCACACCCACAGCTAGCTGCCTGTGTGTGGCTCGTTCCCTCGCTGGGTGCCTGCCTGCCTGACTGCCTGCCTGTCTGCCTGTCTTACCCCTGCACACAGAGGTCTGCGAAGAGTTTGAAGGGTTCGCTGGTCATGCTGCCGCCCATAATGTCGATCATCTCCTTGGTCAGCTTGAACCCCGCACTCTCGAACCGAATGTCGCCGCCGGGCGAGTAGTCGAACAGATAGCCGAAGTCGATGTGCAAGATGTGGCCCTCCGACGTCACCAACAGGTTCCCATTGTGCCGATCCTTGATCTACACACACACACACACACACAGGGGTATCTGTCACATCGTGCGTGTCTGTCTGTCGAGATTGCCTACCTGCAGGATGAAGCAGATGACGCTGTAGGCGGCAAGGGAGCGCACGAACTTGGCCCTGGCGCGCTGGAATGCCACGGAGTGTGTGGGTCCGAAGGTGCGGACGAAGTACTGGTCGAGAGGGAGGTTCTGCGTGTCGGCCTGCTTGCCGAGCTGGTGTCTGGACTTGCAGTTGGGGACGCACTCGATGATGCCGCCGATGCGGCCGTCGTGGCCGGTGCGGTTGGACAGCACCCGGTAGGGGTACATCCACAGGTTGAGATCCACCTCGTGGAAGATGCAGTGGAACAGCTGCAAAGGGTGGGTGACACACACACACACCAGACAGACAGACACACGGATGGGCTAGCTGCTCAGAGGTAGCTGTTGTGTGTGTGTCTGGTGTGTGTGTGGCTAGCTAGGGTGTGAGTGTGTGACCAGGGAGGGTGACCTACCTGCATGATTTGTAGAGCGAGGAGGTCCTGCCTGACGTCGTCGTTGACTTTGAAGATGCATGACACCTGGTCGTGGGCCTTGGCCTCGGGCGCCACGTTCGCCTCTGCCGCATCCTCGCTGTCCGTCACGTCACTCGTACTGATGGACGAATGGCAGACAGACAGACAGACAGACAGAGAGAGAGAGAGAGAGATGGCCAGATCGACAAAAGGAGGAGCGTAGCGTTCTCACCGGACGTGGTATTTCCTGGCGAGCTCTTTGATTTTCTGTTTCCGCTTGATCTTCATGACCTTCTTCTTCATGATGCTCAGAGTCCGCTGCGCCTTCTGCTCCAAATACTGGGACAACGCGTCACGCTGAGCACACACACATCCACAGACACACACCAAATGAAGATGGCCTGCCTGTCTGCCCGTTTGTCTGTCTGTCTTTCTTTCTGTGTGTGTGTGTGTGTGTGTGCGCGTACCTTCTCCTTCATGAGCTTTTGCAGCTTGACGCCCTCGTATGTGATCTTCTCCTTGAGTGTCTTGCGCCGCTTGTTGCCGCGGGACGAGGGCGACAACTGACCGCCGCCCTCACGACGCCGCCAGTGGGGAGAGGCACGCAACGCCGTCACACTGACCAATCCACACATCCGTCCAGCCAGCCAGCCATCAGCCAACACATACACGGGCAAGGTTCGATAATGGTCCACTCAATGAATGGCAATTGAGGTGATTGGGTTGGTACCTGCCTCTGTCGTATCGGCTGAGCGTCTCGAGGAACACCCTCTCCTCGCGGAACATCTCCTCCTCATCATCGCCACCACCAGCACCAGCACCAACAGCCCCCTGCACAGGATGCCCCTCCCTCTCCCTCTCCCCCTCTCTATCCCTCGCCGCACCATGGTCATGGTGGTCATGCCCCTCGAGCTCGTCGTCGGCCTCGTTGTCCTCGTCACCCAGGTCTTCGTCACTCTCATGCTCACCGGGGGCGCCCAGCATCAGCCGCACACCGACGCCCGCTGGCGCCCTGTGTGTGGCCGCGGCTGTGGCTGTGGCTGTCCACCCTGATTGTCCGCCGAGTGGTGGGAGTGTTGGGGATGGGGGGAGCGAGGGTGATGGTGCGGTGGGGGGCGACGGGGGCTGCTGATGCTGTGGGCGCGGGGAGGAAGAGGATGCCAGAGGGGGGAGGAAGGGGTAGTAGTGTGACTCGGGAGCAGACGCAGCGGCAGCAGCCTCGGAGGCGGTGTCGTCGATCGGACCGCCTCCAGGGGGCCTCTGTGAAGAAGTGCCCCCCTTGCCGCCGACGGACGATGCCGCCGACACAGACGTATTGGGCCCCCCCGCCCAGTCGCTTCCGCTCTCCTCCCTCCCAGCAGCAGCAGCAGCAGCCCTCCCAGCATCACGCCGCCTGTGCGTGTGCCCCCCCTCCCCAGCACCACTAGCCCTCTTCTGTGGCTGCTGTGGGAGTTGTTGTGGCTGCTCCTGTCCGATGGGTCTTTTCATCATGGTGGGCCTGCGGACGCCCACTGCTGGCGGGGAGGCGCCCACCGCCACAGCTGTGGCCGGGGTGGCGGCTTGGGGGATGGGGAGGGGGAGGGGGTGGGTCTGGGCATGGTGCAGGTTTGGCGATGCGGCGTGTGAGGGGTGGGAGAGGAGGAGCTGCTGCACGTGGGCGTCGATACCGATGTAGGGCTCCGTTATGAACGTCACCAGCACCGGAACCTACAGGTTAACACACATGGGAGAGGGTGTGCCGTGCCGTGCCGTGGTGTGGTGTGGTGTGGTGTGGTGGTGTGAGGGCACCTTACCTTGGCGGCCGACTGCATGGGCGTGCCGCTGTCGAGGTCGATGGCGACGACCCGCATGTGGGGGTCCACCGGGAGATATATGTGGTCATACAACACCTAACCACACACCACACACCACACCACACCCATGGCCATCCATCCATCTTGATGTCCCACCCCTCCCTCCCTCCCTCCCTCCCCTTGTCGTCTTACGGGTATGTCCTCGAGCGCCTTGCGGATGTGCTCCTTGCGCTCCTCTGCGCGTATGCGTTTGAGTCGTCCGCTGATGGACGTGACGGCGTCGAAAAAGGCGAACTGGTGCTCAAACACGTCACGCTCCAACGCGCTCATCTCGTCGATGATGGACGACTGACACACACACACACACACACAACACACACAAGACACTCACACACAGTGTGGTGGTTCGGGCATGCATGGCTGCAAGGCTTGGGTAGCTTGGGGTGGGTCTCTGTGTGTGTGTTGGTGGGCTCGTGGGCTGACCCTGAGCCGCTGGCAGGTGGCAGGGAGGGTATCAGGCTCGGACAACGGCACCTTGCGCTCGTCGGCACTCGTCTCCTGCACACACCCAACACACACACACACAATGAGACGCACATCGACATGCAGAGAGAGAGAGAGTGCCGGCCGTTTGCCTGTCTGGCCGTCTGGCCGTCTGTGTGTGTGTGTGTGTGTGTACCTTTGCTTCTGAGGTGAGGTTGAACATGAGTGAGTGTGTGAAGAGCGGGGAGATGCGGCAGATGTCCTGGATGGCCCGCGCCAAAGCGCCGGAAGGGTCGTGACGCATCCCCTGCACCAACTGAGGCAGGTAGAAACGAAGCACCGAAGGGCTATACCTGACACACACATCCATCCATCCATCCCCTCTTGCCCTCTTTCCCCCCCCTCTCTCTGTCTCTCAGGTACTGACTTGGTCATGGCTCTGATGGCGATGTGTCTGACGAAGAGGTTGGACCTCAGCGAGCGGTGCAGCATGTGGAAGATGACGTCGAACGGCATCTCGGTGAAGTACAGCAGCGGCAGCAGCGCTCCCTCGTCGCCCTGCTCCACCGCCGTCGACTCAGTCACAACCAAACGCACCGCCTCCGGCTGGTCCAGAAACCCGAAAGGCGCTCGCAGCATCAGACGCTGCACCTCCTCCCTGCACACCACACCACCCCACCACACACAGATACACAACACACACATTTGGGAGGGAGGGGAAGGGAGGCGCCTGCCTGATGGTGCGCTTGGCGGCGAATCTCTTGGTGAGCTGCGCGGCGAGTGCCGGGGAGCAGAGCCATGCGATCTGCGCCAGCTCGCCCCACCGGCTCTCCGACATGCTCGCGGCCCGCTCAGACAGCAGCAGCAGGGGGCTCCCGCCCCTCATCATCCGGTCGTTGACGGCCTTTCGCCCACCACGGCTGAAGCTGTTGTTGTCATTCGACAATTGCCGCTGCTGCAGCTGCTTCTGCTTCGGGAGGATGCCGTATTTCCTCAGTCGGGCGGTCCACCTGCCGCTCTGCTTGCGTGCGACGGCGAGTGGGCCCTTCTGCTCTCTCTCCTCCTTCTGCGTGGCCTGCAGGATGGGCAGCCTGTCCCCCGATGGGGAGTTCCAGACGGCTAAACGCTCCAGCTCGTCGATCACCAGCAGCTCTAACAACTCACGGCTGTAGACAGACAGAGAGAGAGAGAGAGAGAGGAATTTCCGCCATACCCACCTGTCTGTCTGTCTGTTTGTCTGTGTGTGTGTGTGTAAGTGTGTCCGCACCGTAGCTGCAGCAGTCGGCTGCCATCGAGCAGTGCCCCACTTAGCGTGCTGAACTTGCCTCCTCCGCCACCGCCACCCCCTCCTCCACCGCCCTTGGTGCCTAGCCGCTGCAGCCGCACCGACAGGCTGGCCCCGTCGAGCCAGCCGCTCTGCCCACCTGTCCCCCACACACAGGTGGTGTCGGTGCGCTGGAGGACCGACGGCAGACGACGCATGGGCGCTGGGAGGGGGGTGGGGAGGGGGAGGGGCTGCTGGAGGGACGGGAGCAACAGGGCCACGTGTGCGTCGCGACGGAGCAGCTCTAGCGAACGGAGCAGCAGCTGACGAGAAAGCACAGACACACAGAAGCAGTGGTGGACGGGTGGGTGGGTGGACAGACAGACACTTAGACAGACAGACTCACCTGTGTGAGCACATGAGCCTCCAGAAGGTTGGGCCGGGCGTGCCAGCAGATGGGTGCGCTGAAGTGCCAGACGAGCGCCTCGAATGCCATCTCGTGCACACACGCCAAAGTCCCATCTGACAGAAAGGGATGACCCGACGGCTGACCACCACCACCACCTGCAGCAGCAGCAGCAGCAGGGAAGGCTCCTGTCGTTGAAGCCGCGGCCGCCTTGCCGTGGCGCTGGTGTTGTTGCTTGCGATGCTGGTGGTGCTGGTGGTGGTGGCGGTGATGGTCTCGGCTGCCGTCCTCCTTGCGTGTGCCGCGGAACGACGTTGCGGGCGGGGCTGACAGGTGAAGCTGCACACACATAAATGGGGGCATGTGTGTCTGTGTGTGTGTGTACCTGTAGCAGTTCGAAGGTCATGTTGAGCAGTCTGTACTTCGGGCTCATTGCGGATGAGAGTGCGGAGAGGTGGGGGGCGCTGAGGGCCAGAATGGGGAACTGCGCCAGCAGAGAGACCTCGTCTATGTCCACCAGACGAGCTATCACCAGCCGCTGCGATAGGAACCCTATCCACAGCTATTTATTGATTTGGCAATAAATACCAGCCAAGTTATATGTCGGCAAACACACACACACACACGCAGCCGCCCGTACCATACACACAGACCCTTCCTTCGTGGCGTCTGTCTGCTTATTTGGCCTTTATCTACCCTACCTCGTGTGCGTTGATTTCCTCCTGCTGCACCAGCTTGATGCCCTCCTGTGCGGCGGCCTTCTCGGGCGTCCCCCCGCTCCCCACGTGGGCACGCGTCATGAGCTCCGCACGCAGCTCCGACAGACGCCGCCGAGCAGAGAGGTCCATCTCCATCTCGCGCACACCCACATGACGCTGGTGCTGGTGCTGCTCGTCTGCAGTCAGCTGGTCGGCCGCGGCGTGGACAATTTCCGCTGACACTGGTGGTGGTGGTGGTGGTGGGTGATGGTCTTGGTAGGTGGTCATGGGCATGTGTGTCGGTGGTGAGAGGGGCCTGGAGCGTTTCCTGTCTGTGATGAAGGTGACGGCGGTCGACATGTCGACCCCTTCGTCGTCTAGGTCCTCGTCGATGCCCAACACGGGCTCCTCCTGATACCCATACCACACCACACACAGCGCACACAGCACACAACCACATCTCTCTCTCTGTGTGTGTGTGTGTGTGGATGGCATTGATTGCCTCCCTCACCTCAGCCTCCATGAGTCGCTGCATGATGTCGTGTGAGGCGATGCCCGTGGGCCGCGGCTCCACGCTGAACAGACCCCTCTCGGACGAGACCGTGCGGGCCCAGGCGTACACCATCTCACTCAGCAATAAACGACGCAACCTGGAGAACAGGCAACAGACAGACAGACAGACAGGAAGGAGCAGTCTGGTTGGTGGTGCTGGCGCACGTCAGTCAGGGTGCGGTCAGTGTGGTGTGGGTAGGGTACCCGTATGAGTGGCAAGAGAGCCACTCCCAGCAGAAGATGGCCGCCTGCAGGGCACTCCGGGTCATCAGCCTACACAGAGGCAGCCACAACGACAGACACAGCCACACACACACACACACACACATATACACATACGCATGAGTGAGTGTGCGTCTGTGTGTTTGGTGGTTCAGTGCTGCGGTGCGTAGGGGAGGGGCTGTGCTGACTGACGTACGTGGTGGGCCCGTGGACCACCAGCTCCATCAACTCTCGCTCCATACGAACGCTGCAACCAATGCAGCAGACCCACACACACCACACACAGCCAGAAACTGCACACCATGGTCCCTCCCTCCCCAGCAGCAGCACTTACTGCTGCGCCCCTGCCTCGCTGGCCAGAATGAGCGCAGCGCTGGCCCTTCCCATAGCGCCAAAGTACATGTCGCTCCAACCCACCTCACGACCCCTCCCTCCCTGCATCAGGCTGCTCCCACCCACACCCACACCTCCACGATGCTGTTGCTGCTGCTGCTGCTGCTGCACCTCTGCAGGTCCTTGGTCATGGTCAGCTGTTGTCTGCTGGGTGTGTGAGTGAGAGAGCGAGGTGTGTGGGAAGAAGATGGATGTGCGTGGGAGCGGTGGGGATGACGCCGCTGCTGGCGGGAGGAAGGGCGACGCATGCGCGGGGGGATGCTGCCGCTGCACTCGTTCGTTGGCAGATTCAATCACACAGGACAATACAACACAACAGCTGTGTATGTGTGTGTGTGTATGTGTGTGTGTGTGTGTGTGTGGTTGGTTACGGTGAGTGTGAGTAGGTCTCTGGCGAGTGAGTGTGCGGCGTCGGTGAGTCCCGTCTGCTCCACCAGTGTGGAGACCTGGCCCAGGAACCGGGTCTGCGTCTCGATTGACGACACCAGACGCGCAGAACGAGAATACGCCGACAGATGCTCAGGATCTACCTGCAGCAGACAGACAGACAGACAGACACATCCATCCACCCACCCCCCCCTCTCTCTGTGTCCGCTGCACAGCACAGCCCACATGGTAGTCGCCTCGCTTTGGTCCGAAGAGCACAGCCGGCTCGGGCGCATACGTCCTCTGTGAGCAGATGTCGAGCGCCAGAGCAAGCCCCTCCTGCTGCGTCACGGCCTTGTCCCTCTCACGACCTCCACCCCTGCCAACACCGCCACTCCCACCACCACCACCAGCACTGCGCCTGCTTCCCCTGACCTCTCCCGCCCGCAGCACCCCCTGGGCGTGCTGCCGGTCCCTGAGCATGATGTACCTCGCCACGGCGCCCCTGGTCTCATAGGAGTTGAGCGAGAAGGCCCGCCTCAGCCATCTGTCGGCAGTCTGCGCCAGAAAGATGAACGACTCGCGCGAGACCTCCCTCTCCTCGGGTATCATGATGGTGAAGCTGTCGAGGTGCGTGAGGGTGAAGGACTCGACCCTGCAGTCGTAGGCTGACTTGAGGAGCTCGCCCAGGTGGTTGAGGAGCTCTATGGTGGTGTTGATGACGCTGCTGTGCCAGATGAGCTCGGGGAAGGCCGCCGCCATCCGCTCCAGGATTGACATGGCCTTGGAACGCACACGGCCGCAGCGGTGCACACAGGACACGATCAGGTGGGTCAGCACCTGCCCCAGGTGGGCCGTTCTGGCGAATGTGCGTCGTTCGTCATGCAGCCGCTGGATGGACTCGTCAACCACGTGGTCTATCACACGATCTATATCAGTGTACCGTGGGCGGGGGAATAGGCAGGCGAACACATTCGCCACACAGAGAGAGAGAGAGAGAGGGAGAGAGAGAGACAGTGAGTGACGAGTCGTATGGTGCGCGGCGCGTGGTGCGTTCATGTCTTGTCTGTGTGTGCGGACTGGACACGTACCGATGGCCTCGGACATTTCGGCATTTCTGTGCAGCCCCTCGCTGTGCAGGTACGCAACCAAGCTGCAGATGTTCCGATGCTACACACACACACAGACACACACACACCCAACACACTCGTGTGCGGTGTGGTGTGGTGTGGTGTGCCCACTTTGGCTCGATAGGTCTCGAGATGCACCAGTGCGAGGCAGTAGAGCAGCCGCGACGGCGGCAGCTGTGTGGCCAGGGGGGCCAGGGACGGCACCGCCTCACACACAGTCTGCCGCAGCCACACGCTCAACGAGTGGTGGTGATAATAGCCCTACACACACACACACACACGCACACACACACACAGAGGGAGAGAGATTACTCCCCTACACAAACATGGCGCTGGCCCACGTGTTCGGCAGCGGTGGGGTGGAATTCGGGTGGCGCCAGCTGGTCGATCTGGGCAATGGGGTCGAGTGCCTGGGGCGGCTGTAGCGGTGTGCCGGTGGGTGGTCCTCCGGAGGAGGTGGTGGTTCTGTCCTCTGTGGTGAGGTGGACCAGGACGGGCGAGAGGCGCGCCAGCCGCTCTAGCATAGACGATAGCCTCTCGGACGGACCGCTGCAGTGCACCCAAGCCACACACGGCACACACAAAGGAAGGATATATACAGCTGCCTGGTGGGGTGGCGTGGGGGGGAGGGGAGGGGGAGTCGGAGGGTCGCGTACATTCTGGTCTCTCTGCTCTTGGTCAGCACGACTGACATCCAGATCTACACAAGCCAGCCAGCCAGCCGCACATAACGTGAAGCTTTGTCAGCGTGCTGCGATTCCCTCCCTCCCCTTCGGTGTGGTCTTCTCTCCCCTCGCTGTCTGTCTTTGAACACTAATTAATTACCATAGTGAAGAAGTTGACGACATTGGCGTCGGTGTGGTAGGGCGTGGCCGTCATCCACAGGCACCCCGGCGGCTGCAAGATGATGTCGCGGGCCGACTTGACACCAACCACACGCACACGAGACTGACACATCCACACACACACACGCTCACACGTGAAGACAAGACATTGACGTAAGCACGTCCGTCCCCATGTTCGTCCGTGTCAGTCAGTCAAAGTCCCTCCCTCCCTACCGGTATGCCATCGGTTTGGTCGCACATGACGGCGAGCAGTGGCGGGATGCGGTGCGTCCGGCACTGCGCAAACACCAACAAACCCAACGTCCTGACAGACAGACAACACCACACACCACACCACACTGCACGGCACAGCACAGCACACAAAGCTATGCGCTCCTCCTCATTCTTCTCTTCTCCACCCTCCCGCCCCTCCCCCGCCCCCTCCGCCGACCTCATGTACTTCTCCCTCTTGAGTGGGTGGCTGAGTTCCTTGCCCATCCTGCCCAGTCCCCGCACCAGCACCGGCAGCAGACGAGCCGACGCCAGAGGCCCCTGCTGCTGCAGAGGCCGCTCACCACCCTTCAGGCTGCTCTCGCCGCCGGGTGCCAGTGGTGCGGGGGGTGGTGTAGGCTGCTGCTGCTGGTGGTGCTGCTGTGGTCGTGTGGCGTCTTGTTGTTGTTTGTGTGACGGTGTGGGTGCGGGCGAGACGGAGGGAGAGGGGAGGAGAGAGGGGCGGACGTCCTCGAAGTGCACAGTGGACTGGCTGAACAGCCGCAGAAACAGATCTAATATCGAGGCAGTGAAGCGGCTGCCGCTCTGCATCCAAACCAACAACCACACACACAAGTGAAGTGCAAGGACGTCCGCCTTGTTGGGCGGCTCTGTGGATCTCTCGCGGTTTCGCGCCTACCACATGGACGGCAATATCGCATAGGGCCACAATATAGGCCTCCAAATGCATCACCAAAATGCCCTCATGCCGCGCTCTCTCGCCCTGTGGTGGCGGTGGTCTGTCCGCCCCTGATCCCGATCGGCCGCTGATGCCGCTGAGTGTCTTGGTGGTGGCCACGGTGTAGTCCGAGTGTCCCTGGTATGGGTGTGGTGGAATGAGTGTGCGGTGGGTGTGGAGGGGCATGGAGGCCGCTGCGTCGGCCAGCAGGGTCAGGAACTGCTGCGTCAGGCTCGACAAAGCGGGGGACGTCAGCTGGGGGGTGTCCAGCAATGACACCAAACCGGACACTATCTGGAGAAGACACACACACACAGAGAGCGAGAGCGGTGGATGCCGTTGTGTTGGCTGGTTGCGGTTGTTCCTTCCTCTGGGTGTCTGTCTCTGTGTGTGTGTTAGTCAGTCATTCTTGCCTTGAGTGCCTTTCTGGTGCCTTGTGTCCTTTCCCATGCATCTCTCTGAGCAGCGGATGGCTGGACGCCCCTCCTCCCCTCTGCAGCCGCCCCGCTCCCAAACGACACAGACCTCGCTCCACCAACAAGGCCCAAGGACCCCGCACCACCCCGGCCGTCGTGATTGCTGCTGGTGAGTGCGGCGCTCTTGTCTTCACTGGTGCGGGTGTGGTCGATGTGCTCCATCAGCCGACTCAGCAATACCGACACCGGGCCACCTTCTTCGGTAGGGCCACCGGTGCCATCGCCATCTCCGTCTTGCTCGTCCATGGTGGCCCTCCTGACGGCCTCCATGTCGATGTCTACGGCCACCTCCCCCCGGCCGTCCTCCCTCTCCACCGTCACACGCACCTCTGCCGCCGGCCGCAACACGGGGGGGCTGAAGGTGGTGGTGGTGAGGGGGGCCTCGCCTTTGGCACAGCCGAGTGGCAGGCACGCAGTGGCCAGGCACCACACCATGCGTGTGAAACACTCGCACTCTGAGAGACGCGCCTTGCTGCTGCTGCTGCTGCTGCTGCTCCTGCCTGTGTCGGTGTGTGGCTGCTGCTGTTGTTGGGGGTCGCCTTCGTCCAGCAGCCAATGCAGCTCGTCCCACGGGCAGACGTGAGATGCCTGAGAGGGTTCAGAGGATTGGGAGGGTCCGGCTGGCCTTGCCGGTGCTGGGGCTGGTGCTGGTGATGGTGGTGGCGCCTGTGGTTGTGGTTGTGGTGATAAAGTGGGTGGTGACTCGAGCGTGCTGCCGATGTTGAGCCGGAGGGAGGCCTTCAGGTGGCTCAGGGGCAGCACCAGGTGGCCACCTACGGCGAGTTGTCGGGGTGGACATACGGCGAGATGGCGGAAGGGATCCTGCCTTAGCAACAGCTCTGAACACAGCAAAGCACAGCCAGCACCCTCTGTGCGTGTACTTCGGTGGGCCATAGATAGCCATGCCATGCCTACCGAAAAGTCGTTCAATGGGTGTTGTCGCCCGCGCGTGTTGCGCCTTTGCGAGCCAGGCGAGGGCGCAACATCCAGCCGTCACGACGGTCAGCAGGCACTCCTGCACCACCCACGGAAGCACCACCACACCGTCGCCTCTCCCCTCTCCAGCCGCCGCCACATCATCAGGACCACCACCATCGTCACCATCTACACACACGTGTACGTCGACAGCACATCAATCACGTGTGCTCGTTGCATTGCGTCGCAGTTCAGTTCAGCTCGGCTCACCGGGGCTGTCTGTATGTTCCACCAGGATCGGGCAGTTCTCGGCACAATCGAGCGCACGGCGGCAGAGCGTCACTGCACTCCGCTCTGCTCGCCCAAAACCGACCCTGCACACACCAAACCACATCCATCGCACACAACGGGTAGAGGACAGGAAAGGTGAGGCTGTAAAGCTGTTTTCTGTATGCCATGCCCACCCCACCCTTGTGTGTCGTCCATGAGTGTGGCGCATGCCGCCATAGCGAATGCGGCGTCGACGGCCGACTGGCTCCGCTGGATGAGCGATGCCGGTGAGGTGGACGACTGGGCGGCCTCACCCCCACACACAGACACAGGCCGGGAGAGCCCCTCTAACACGGGGAGGAATGCCTGCACCTCATTGTCGGCCTGGGTGGAAAGAAAGATAAGGGCGACACGCACATGAAACATGCATGGCTGGGGTGCAGACCCTCTGTGCGTGCCCTGTTTCTCTGTGTGTCTGTGTCTGTGGCTGCACCGCAGCTTACCTTGTCCAAGAGCGCCTGCCGGTCGCTTGGCGTGAGAGTGTACCGATCGCCACTCGCCAAAGTGACCTGAGGAGTGATACATCCATCCGTCCATCCATCCGTCCCGCCTCCCTGACTCATTCGTCTGTCTCCATACATACCTGCAGTGGCGCATCGTCACTGTACACATGCTGGTCCGCCTCGTCCCTGCCCCTGTGCGCCATCCGCAGAGGCGACAACACTACGGAAAAGTAAGCGCCCAGCAGCCGCCTCGATTGCGCATCACCTCCACTGACACAGACACAGACACAGACACACAAACACACATATGTATGTTGCACCAGAGGATAACCAACCAAGAAGGCTAGGCTCGCACATACATCTGATCTGCCTACCCTACCCCAGCTGCCCAATCCGCCTGATAAGGGTCTCCAGGATGGGCTTGGTGACGGGGAAGAAGGGGCAGGCCATGGCCTTCAGGCACCCCCACAGATGCGCCGGCACCTCCCCCTCCCCGCCGGCAGACCGGTCCAGCCACCCCACCACACTCTGATCGACGCACTTCTGTATGGCCGACCGTTTGGTCCAGCACTTGCGCCACACGCTGGCCAGCGCACAGGTGAGCAGGTAGCCCAGCTCCTCAGTCAGCGCATCGGCATCAGTGGCGTTGGTGTCGGGGCCTGCATTGCTGCCGGTGGGGAGGGGGGCGGGAGGAGGGCGCATCACTGGCAGGCTCTGAAAATAGTACAGGTAGCGCGGCAGACACCTGAGGGGAGAGAGGAAGCAAGGCAAGGACACCAGTGAGTCAGACAGCCATCCAGCCATCCAGCCACATATCGTCTTCCTCTCTCTCTCTCTCTCTCTCCCGTGCCCTCCCTGTCGTCCTGTCCCGTGTTGTGTGTTGACTGATTGCCAGCCCCAGCCACCTGTCGACGACTGCGTCATCCCGTGTGTGTGAGAGCAGGTCGCCGAGGGCCAGGAGGGCAGCGTGGCTCTCCTGCGTCAGCTGCAGACATGCGGGCGGCTGTGGCGGCGACTCGGGGGGGACACTCGGGCAGTAGGAAAGGAACGCAGACAGCCGCTCCAACGACACCTGCATCACACACATAACATATCACATATCACATAATAACTCAGATATCTGTGACAGACAGTCGATGAATGAAATCGCTCATTGGTGGTGCTGAGGTGCTGGGGCGTGGCGTGCCTGCTCGATGGCTGCCAGGCATCTGGCCATCCGGGCAAAGATCTCCCGGGAGTCTTTCATTGCGAAACTAACTGGTGATGTGGTGAGGCGATCAAAGCCTGGCGGATCTTCCCACAAAAGGTTGCTCCGGCCAGGCCAGGCCACTATCGACACGCGCGCAGAAACGCTGCGCTCGTCTTCAGAGCTGAGCTGGCAGACATCTGCGAGCTTAGCGCCAAGCTGGGTGCATCTGTTTGCCGCCCCTTCTTGCCAGTGTAGGGAGGGGTAGACATCAGCAACCAAACCAACCAGGGCGCCTGTCCAAGGATCGTCAACAACACAACACATGGAGCCGATGGATGTATCCATTCGCCCCGCCTCTCGTGCGCTGCTGGCGCTGCTTGTGTTTCTGGTGGTGCTGCCCCTCCACCCTGTCCATGCTGCCCTCTGCCTCTCCACCCAAGCCCCGCTGGAGTTCGTCACCATCCAGATGCGCCGGCACCTGACGGGCGAGATAGACCTGCATGACGTGTTTGGCGACCCCATCGCCCACCTGGAGCTCACCATGAGGCGCACCCACGGGCAGCTCAGCAAGGTGGTGATAGCTGACCCATCATATGACCGCTCTATGGACCGCACCGAGTCTGAGAATGAAGATGATTACGATGATGAACTGGCCTTCGATGATGATACCGACACAGACGACATGGCAGGAGACGAGTGGGACGAAGAGGTGGAGGAGGAAGGGGAAGGGGGAGAGGGAGAGGAGGAGGCCCAACAGGAGGCAAGCGACGGGCACGGTGCCGATGACGACGGTGTGGAGGAGTCCGAGTGCGAGATTCAGTGCCACACGTGGAGGGCCATGCACGAGGCGCTGCAGGAGCCCACAGCAGAGGTCAGACAGTCAGCAGAGAGAAGCATGCCCCCATTTCATTTGTACGTTTGAGTCTCCTCTCTCTGTGGGTGTGGGTGTGTGTTGGTCGACCTGTGGCTTGCTGCAGAGGGCGATGGTGCGTGACGGATCCCTGTGTTCGTCGCTGCACACGAGCCTCTACTGCCATGCGGTGAACGGGCGGCAGATGCCGGCAGAAATGGACTCGGCCCTCTTCCTGCACGTCGACTGGGACGGATGGATGACCTGACCTCACAAGACAAGAGGGAGGGACCCGACATCACATCACATCACCTCACATCAGATCAGATGCTATGCGTGACGTCGCCTGCCTGTGTACTCGATGGATGAATCATGCACACACACAGGGGGGGATTGATTGCAGCTCTTTTTCCGTCTCGGTTTGCTTGGCGGGGGCAGAGAGAGAGGTGCTGGGGGGTGTTTGTGGGTCGGGCGGGGTGGGGTGGGGTGGTGGTGACGCGATTGCTCAGTTTAGCCGCAGTTAAAGACAGACAGGCAGACAGACAGACACCAAAGAAGGGATTTAGTAGTGTGTGGTTGGTGCACCCATGGATCAATCAGCAGGGCAGGTTTGGGAGCGTTTTGGGGTGGGTTACAAAACACAACACGGCCACGCCACACACTTTTTCGGTGTCTGCCTGCCTGCCTGCCTGTCTGTCTGTCTGCCTGTCGAGTGTCTGTTTGTCTGTGTCTGTCTGTGTTTGTGTGTAGTGTGTAGACTAAGGGGTCTGCCTTTTGCCCGGCAAGGCCAGGCCAGGCCAGACCAGGTCAGGTGGTGAAGAGGCGCCGACACGGACGTAGCGTGGCGTTACTTACGTGTGTGGACTCATATAGTGTTCGTTGATGCGTAAATGCCATCCCATACACCGGTGGGTCAACCAACCTGCAGCAGCCCGTCTATCATATCATGGGCACTGCATCCACTGCACCAGGCTGTCTGTCTGCTATGTTATGTACACAGAGCGGTGGGTGCATTTGGTGCGCATGCACACACACGTCACACACAGCCACATGTGGCCACACGGGCAGGTAGGTAGGTCTCGCAAGCTGGACGGCTAGGCTAGGCTAGGTGGCTGGGTCGTCAGTCACATGACCGCACACATGGTCGGTTGCTCTCTGCCGACGCCCTCCTCCTCTACCTCCTGCACACAACAAATGTTGGATGTGTGGGGGGCGGGGGGGGGGGGGGGGGGGGGGGGAA